GGATTCTATCCTTGTAGGTAAATGGTATACAAGCTCTTTAGAAGGTCCTGACTTCGGCCTTCTTTGGAATCATGAGTTCTCACTGATATAAAGAAACCTTAATTGTGACAAAACAGTTGTCCAATATTCCCTGGCTTTCAATGGTCCCCTTACTGAAGTCAACTCGTGGTCATAATTGTTTGTTTTTACTTTTTACTACTCATTAGTAGTTCGAGTACATATACGAAAATATCAAACGTACTGCTATGTTGAAACAAATTCGTGACTTGCGATACACATAATTCAGGGGGATTTAACACAGTTTCTTTTGGGAACCGAAATTATTCAGATCACACCCAATATGTGATCTGATTTTGATACTATAAATGGCAATCAAGAAGGCAAGCATAGATGAATGGCGTTATATGCAACTGATTTGTGTGAGTGGTTGCACCCCACTCATACCATCAACCAGCCAAATTGAAGCGATCTACCCACCGGACATTTGTTTCAATGTGTGTGTTTTCCTGGTATAATTTTGATCTCATTATCTTTTCTACCGCCGATCCAGGTAGACAGGAATGGAGCCTCACAAATAATATGATAGCATACTAACCATTTTCCGAGCCCCTTTCAGTATTCCCGTTTAGTTTGATCTCAGTTACCACCTCCCTCGTAGACTAAAAGAACATTGTGAACATTCAAAAGATGCTTCATTCCTATATGTTACCTCCAGAAAGAGATGGAGAAGTAAAGAGGAAATTTCAGTATGTGCATGGTTGGTTACAATTCTCAGTCATATCTGCTTACGTCTTGAGCTACTGGTTATAATAATCTCTCAGATCTATCTAGGGCTAGAAAACAGTCAATAGTATGGGAACCGCTTGGACTGGACTACATTGACTCCTAGCTTAGGAAAAGTGGCAGTGAAGTGATTTGTGGAGCGTGTTGAACACTTACTTCACCTATTTGGGAAGTTGCATCAGCCAGCCTCGGACCGTTGATTGCTGATGAAATCTTAGCATGGATAGATACAGAAGAGCCTTCTGTATTTGGCATTTCTCAGCCAACTTACGCCATCTCTGGCGTAGGATTGATATCCGGTTGGCTCTCGATGTGTATACTGCTCAGCCGTCCACTCTGTCATCCTCCATGGCTCGTTGTGAGACCTGGCCATTGAAAGTGAAAGACATGAAGAAGCTGGCTAGATGTCTTTGATCTTAGGTGTCTGTGTTCTATCTCCTGTGTTTTGTGGTGGTATAATAAGGTGAGGCTTTGGTTGAGTGCTAGATAAGGAGGGAGGGGAAATCAATCGACGAGTTTGTGAAGTTGCATCGATTGAGATGATTAAGACATGTGCTACGCACGCCTGCCTAGCCGTCGCCTTCCTCGACAACGGGCAGTGTTCGCCAACAAACGATTGATGAGGTTGAAAAAGAGATTGTTAGTGGTGGTTAAAAAAAGCATGGCTTCATCAATCAATGAAGAAATCCATAACAGTTAGGTTAAACTAGTCAGCCACGTAGGGAGGTAGGTGTAGGCTGACTGCCTGACTAGTTGGAGTCTTCGGGAGAGCAGGAACGAATGGCGAGTGGAGAGAATTATCGGTGATATGGGTCAAAATCCTCGCTGTCAATGGTTGGTGCAGACGCATTCACTCTTTGTGATTTGTCACATCCAATAAAACTCTATGGTTCTTCCACCATATTACTATTCTTTTTTCCTCACTCACATTTCTGTTTATTATCTCTCTTTACTCTCTTCTATTGCTTTGTGTGCTACATAGAGGGAGTGTGGCGATTGGGACTTCTGGACATCTGTGGAAAGTTCTGTGTTGTAACCAGTCAGTGATGGGAACCGCTGAGATAACATTCATTATACATCTCTTCCTAAGCCGGTGATCTAATATGACAACAGTCATTAAGAGGCACACTATTGAACCTCATAATTACTTACATTATGGTGTCATCAGATACAATCAATTCCATGGACTGCGACAAGTGGAATACTCAGAATCGACCTATATCACTAGGTATTCATAAGGAACTTTTGTACTAGGTGGAATCAGTTTGCAATAGTAAGACATTGTAGTTCTAGTTTAAGGAAGGAAGTTTCTGTGATTGAGTAACAATCCTTTTAATGAGTACGAGAGAGAAGGAGAGCGAATTAATGTATCATGCTAGTCTGTTGTTGATGACTTTTCGAATTACAATTCAAGGGTCATTGAATTCTGGCTCAAGTGGTTGAATTCTGTCGTAACCTGAAGGTTCCGGGTCTGATCTCCAATGAAGGCGTGGGTGCGTACTTCTGGAGAAGAGTCCCAACCTAAGACGAAACACGTTTTCAGTACCTAGCGTGTGCTAGGTAATTCTTATTCACTTCCTTCTTGTGGCGTGGTGGGTTTTCCTAACATAAATCAAGGAGCGAATGTAAACGCTTACAGGAGCTGAACAGTAAAGTCCACCTAGAGATTGAGTGATTTGGAAAACCCTGATTCCAAATCTAATCTATGGTTTTTGCGTACATCGGCTGCAGAATCCGATTGGATCGTGAATGATATATCAACCTGTTTTGGTTACCAGAAACCACAGGAACACAGCTTCTGGCTAACTGCTCCACTGCTTAGTAGATCAGACTTCGGTTAAGCTAAATGCTCGGGAAAGGGAGTTGACTGGTCTCTTTTAAGACAACCACCTACTTCGGTCTAGGCGTCCAAGCAGTATTCCAGCTTTCGTGCAAACTATGAAATTTTGTGTAGTGCTCATGTCTTGGTGCCCACAGATATACACCAAGTTTGTGTAGTAGTAGTAGTAGTAATGATAGTAACAATACACCCCCGGATTTCCAACGTTAATCTCCAGCCAATATCTAGTTCATGACGTAAAGTTATATTATTGTATTTCATCTAAGGCACTGTACTCCCTGGCCAACAGCAACAACAATCAGCATAAATGGGAGAGTTCTGGAAGAAATAACCTTCTTTACCTACCTATCTGGGAAGTATCGTCGTCCCAAATACAGGCGGACGGAACTGATGAGGATATCAAAGCAACGAGGATCGGGAAATCAAGGAAAGCTTTCATTACTCTCCCCAAGTCTGTATGGAGGAGATCAACAGCACTCCTCAACATGAAAATGAAAATCAGATGCCGATTTTCAACTCTAATGTGAAGTCAGTGCCATTTACTATACGAATCGGAAACTTGGTCAGCTCCGTGTCACGAAGGCCACTTCAAACAAATTACAGAGCTTCATCAGCAGCTGTTTTCGCTCGATACTCCTCTCAAGATTAGATGGCCAGCCAGAAAAGATCGGCAACAGAGAGGGATCTCTGACAATGAGCGAACCAACCCATCAGGAACCAATTGGGCAAGAAATATGCAGGAAGAAATGCAGGTGGATTGGCTGATCATACTCTGAGAAAACAAACCATCGTCAAGTGACATCACACTCCAGACTCTCTCTTGAATGGAGCCCTAATGGGAAGCGGCGAGTTGGTCGTCAGTGCGAGGGTGGGGCGACATGGAGGTGATGTGAAGAGGAGATGAAAGTATGTGGAGAGACGTGCAGCCAACTGAAAACGTTGACGGAGAGCTGAACGCATTGGAGACATTTGGCCGAAGCCCTATGTTCCTCTAGGAATTAAAGGAAACAATAGAAATAATAATACGAGGCACTGTACTATGGTATTGTAATATGCTAATTTAACGGGAGAAAACGGGACACTTGAGGTAACGGAATATTTAATTAAAATTTGATATACACATATATGAAACAGCTGTCCAATACCCTAAGGTTTTCCAGTGGTTCTCTAACTGATGTCAGCTCATGTTGAAATCCTTCATCCAATCAAATATATATGTATATATATTTGTACAGATCTTCCGTGTTGTTGTGCTACTTCTGCCCGGCTTCGTATTGTGTTGCTCCCATGTTTCACCGCAATCCACTGGTTCATTGACTTCTCTACTTGTCGTGAAATCTATCTCTCCGCTATTCGATGTTTATTTTTATGCACCGATCGTTGAACCTCTCTCTCAAAATATACTACTGATAAACCTTTTCAGTAACTCAGACGCCACACTAATACCACTTATTTTATCATAAATCGATACTCTGTTCTAATTTTTATTCATACGTCGTATTAATAATAATAGTAACAATAATTCTAAATGGTTTTGTCGTCTGTTTACCCTATCGATGTGCACGCACACACAGTGTACAGTATAGTGCACCCAGTTTATTAAATCAGGTAGAATATTAATAATAATAATAATATTAATCTATAATTCCGTTTAAAGAGCACTTTATATTTGGATTATGCAGTCAGTCAGTCAATTGTTGACTGTTTCTAT